CGTGCTGCTCCTGTTGAGGCTCTGTGGCCATTCTGGCACTGTGTGCTGCTATGCTTTGTTGTGTGCGTTGGTTTATTTCTGTCAGCCTGTCTGTTTGTGTGTGCATGTGCGAGTCACTACCCAGGGCCAGACCACTGGGATAGCTGTCACTGTGCTGACTTAGCTGTCATACATTAAAAAGACCTCCTTAACGGTCTGGAGAGCACATCAACTTGTTTGTCCTGCCACATCTGACTGAAACATATACATATACAGCGACGTACGCACATATATGTGTCTGTGGACATACGTGAGTGTATAAACATACATTTACGTCATTTCCTTTTTCTAACCTTCCCCAAAGATAGACACTCAGCCACGAGGCATTCAGAAGGCACAGGCCTGACACACAGTGACAGCAGCCTCACACTGCTCTGCTCCGTCTTCAAACAATAAAGTCAGCAAATGTCATTCTATGCTCTACTTTTATGCTCTCTCATTTATAGCAGCTCAGCAACCTTTACACAGCCCACATTATTCTTTAACATGTTCCCTCAAATCATGGCCTCCCACAGTTTTGCTTGAGTCGACATCAGATAAAGAGCCTTCTATTGGTGCACAGCTACAAATGCTACAGTACCTTGTAGGATTTTAACACAACGCAGCACAGCTGTATTTAAAAATGTAAAAGCAATTACTTTACAATATTCAGACAAAATTCTCTGAAAATTGTGCAGTCAACAATTACACAGTTAAAATGATGCCAAAATATGTTCTTCAAAATAGGACTTTCTTTGCTTTTCGCTCTGGTTTCTACAACTTAAATATACATACTATAGACAGTGTTTATCCCTCTGACATCCCAGATATTTCTTGTCTCATAGGAAGTAGTGCAGCCTGATACATGCACTTTCTGGCTGGTCCCTTTACTCTTTTTCGTGAAACATAGAACTTTATCTGCACCTTAGTCCATCTAAACGTGAGCATGAGAGCAGCAAAGCTGCAACATCTTGTTCTTGACCGTGTTTGCAGGGTATTCTCTTGTAATGACAAAGTTTTAATTGACATTTATGGATGCAGTGACTGACAGTGATTTTCAGAAATGACCCTGAGCACAAGCAGTGACTTTCACTACGGCGTCCTGCCTGTGTACACAACAGCTCCCATTTCTGAGGAAGCAAACTCCTTTTTACCTGCAGCCTCCTCATCTATCCTTCCAAAGACACAGGCTCTGGGGGAGTTTTTTAAAAAAAAAATTTAATTACACCGTCATGTCACTGGCTTGTTCCCAATTAATCATGTAAGTTATAAGAAGTTTTAGCATTGCACATTTTCTAGTCATCTTTTTGGCGCTGTCCCAGCTTTCTGGCGTCAGAATTGACGATGAGCACACAGAACGACCCATTTTCTCAGTTTCAGCATTTGACATGTTGCTTTTGCATGGCTATTCATCTAAACATAACATTAAAATAGCAATTGATGACATTTTTCATATAAGACTTTTTACTTTTTAATAATCAATTTCATTGCATTTCTAATTGTAAACGGGGATCAAACAGTTTGGAAAACATAAAAAGATCAAATCATGAAATTCAGCAAGACGTTTCACACGTTGGCAGTGATGTGCAAAGTGTCTCTCACCTGGTGTCAAACACAGGGTTGGTGTACAGGGAAGGGGGACATTGAGGTTGCTCTCCTGGACTGTTAGGGGGCACCGTGAGGCCCAATTTTCTGCCCCATCCTGAGACACCATCTGTGGGAACAGATGAATACTTTAGCCCCTTTTTACGGCTCTGTTAATTTACACCTCCTCCTCTCTGTCTGGCTGAGTTGCGGGAGGATTCACAAGTTCTTAACTGCAGGATATTACACGCACAAAGACACTCGCTCTGCTCTAAATGTGAGATAAAGAGAACACTCAGCTTTATGTAAGTGTGTGTCAAGTATATTGATCTGGAATGGTGCAAACTGTAGATACGTTGAGGCCATATGTTGTCATAGGCTAGTTAGGAATGATGGTGGATCAGTAATCCCCTCAACCACCCAGACTTAAGAGGCTATTTTTGCTGGCTATTAGTCTGCAGCTCTGGCTTAAAGCAAAGTAGTTTGCCTCAATTTTTATTATTAAATATTATATCCTCTTTCAGCTTTTCACAGGAAATTCGATTCAAGCTAGTATTAGCATATAAATGAAAGTATGAAAGTATGAAATGTTTTTTCAAAGAGTATAAAACAAGGAGCACACAACTCTTCTGCTAATCTTTTGTTGTTGTCTTGGCTATTGCTGCAATTACAATCTATCAGGTGTACCTTCTCCATCCAACAGAAAGCAGGTGAGCAGATGGGGACACACCTCCTCCAAAACAGAGCAGAAGGAGCAGAAAGCAGAAGGCCCTTTTGAGGACAGGTGGTCCAGGAACACCTCTGTCCGCCTCCTGTTGGACTCCTGTTCCAGAATGTCCTTGTACTCCACCAGTGAGAAAACCTTGTTGTACACCAGATAGGGAAGCACAGCATTGACATCCAGGTCACTCAGGATCTGTTGTCTGTGCTCTTTGAGGATCTTAGCTGCCCATCTCTTCTTCTTCCTGGTGCATGGCCTCCTGCCAGACCTCTGCTGCTGTCTCTTCTGCTTCCTCACAAACCACCTCTTGGTGCCACTACCGAACATGTTCAAGTTAAAGAAACCCACCAAAACTTCTTCCACAGCTCTGTCAGGACAGTTCCCAAAGGAGGGGAGGTGCATATTTCATGCAAGAAAAAAGACTATGCCACATATTTCTCTGAGCCTCCCTTTGTTGTTGTCTGAGTCCTTTATCTGGGGCAGGAAGAGACTATCTGGACAGTAGCTGATTTCTAGCCGGGTACTTAGTGAGTCTAAGTAGATTAACAGCCGCTTAAGTATACCGATGCACTCTGTTCAACAATGCCCAGACACCCTCAACATCTTTCGCATTAACTAGCCTGTCTTGTTAGGACATCAGACATTTAGTTAAGTTGTCATTTGATTACCATCATTTAAAAAATCATCTCCAACAGTTTCTTCTCATGAGCTACTTCCTTGAGGATACGTGCGAACACGATGAAAAGTATAAAATCCTGTTATTTTGGGTAGTGCTGACTAGCCCAGAAAAATAACAGGGACTTATAGGACAAGGCTGGTGGGATGCAAGTCCTACGCTCATTGTGGAAAATGTGTGTGAAGTGACTGAGACTTACAGCAAAGCTCCTCACTCTGTGAGTGAGAAAGTGGCTGCATACATCAGTTCACTGATCAGCATTCCAACAAGTCACTTTGCTGCTTTTTCTGCAAATGTGACACCTGATTAAATCAATAGAACACTTAATCATGCACAGTGACCTGTAACATTTAACCATAATTCCTGCACTGAGGAGAAGAATAAGCGTATAATGGGTTTTAACAAGGGCATTCAAAGGGGAGCTTAATGTATTGCACTAAAAATCCATATGAAAAAAGACAGTAATGCAGCACAAACCAATATGACCTTGAATCACATTTTATCCATCTGCTGAAAGAATTGAGGGCAGACTGCTCTTTACCAGAAGAGGGTGCCATTTGATCAGAGAGTCAAAGTGCATTTATTTTCCTAATAAATGCATCAATAAAAGCAATAATTCTGTTTGTGGAACACGTGGATGCTGATAGCAGATTTTTATAATCCGACTCATTGCAATATAATGTCCCAGCTTTTTATGATTTGCAGTATATTTTCCTCTTTTCCGTCAGTTAATTGGCTCAAGGAGAAGGAGTGCTGCTGTGGAGGGGCCAGTGCAAGGATGACACTCACATTGACTTACAGTATCTCTGAATAAGCTGTGGGGTCTGAAATGAGAGCGCAACAGTGTGGCTGTTTTCAGCAACATTAACCTACACATTGGCCCAGATGATTTTCCTCATCTGCTGCTGATTGTGGCTGTAAAACACATGCTTGTGTTTGTTGGAAATTCTTGTTTTCCCATTTGCGGGCTGCTCATCTCTGTCAGCGCAGTGAGTCTAGGCAACATCCTGTGAGGCTAAACTACTGGTATTGTTTTGTATATTTATGTACATATTATTTTTGTATACCTAGAATGGCTTAATAAATTAGAATAACAAAAGAAGCAAAGTGAAAACTACCTGCAGAACCCATGTGGACACAAAAAACCTGGAAAATTAATCATAATGATTGGTGAAATTAAATAACTAAAGCTGCAGAAACCTGCAGCATACTGTGGAGCAAACCAACATGTGTGTAATCAATTTCTTCACTTTTCTCTGGTGAAGAATTTTGATTTATTTTGAAGAATCTTTTTCTTTCTCATGGGACTCTTTCCTCCTTCTAGGTCTCAGAGAAAGTCTTCTCATACTTTATCTCTTAATGTTTTGGCCTGAGGATTGTTTGGTACAGGTGCAGGTTACTCTGTGATGGGAGTCATACTTTACCCCTCATCCCATGCTCAGAGAGGGGTGTAAAATGTGCTAAGATTTTGTTTGACTTTAGAGCGACTTGATACGTTGTATGAGCGTGCTGGTGGCAACTTCATGAAGTTTTTTCCCTTTAATACTTTTTCTATTTCTTACTCTCTTGGACGGACTAAGGCTCTCTCTTTAGAATGGAATTTCCACAACAATACACAGACATAACTGTTATCCACTTTTTTCTTAAGTAAATGAGCTATTTAATCTCCACTGAAAAACAAGAAGTCTTGACATGTGTCTTTCCATGTCAGAAGTGTGTGAGGGGCCAACAGATCAGTGCTGGGTGTCTCAAAAGCAGCGAACCATCCGCTGTGCAGTAGCACATATTAATTGAATTCAGATTGCTGCAACTGCTCAATTATTTAAATACTGTACTACTCACATGTCACAAAAAAAGCCGTCCCACTTATAATTCAACCAGCAAATCAGATTTAGATTCACTCAAGCAGCAGAAAAAGAAGCCATGAGAGCCTTCTCTTCTCAAAACCCCACATCTCATTATTAACTGGATGTCCTCACAAAATATTAAACATTTAATGACACACTGGGATTTAATGTGACAAAGCAATGACCTATTACAGATATTTCATGCATATGCACAAGCAAAATATTAAATTAATTGTTCAATGTGACCTTAACACATTTTCTAAACATTTTTAAAGGAAGGTAGCCCAATGCCAAGCCAAATAAAGTTTTTTTTAATGACATATCTATTCCCATCCTTGATTGCAATCAGTGTAGCAATAATAAAGATGAGTTTATCGTGTGGAAACAAATAACCTTCACTAACATCTACTTTGTTTAATCAAAACCTTTTCAAATGGCTCTGTGATTGTGTGCTGATTAACATTAAGCATTAATGAATGCATTTTTGTTACCATAACTATGCAGCCAAAGGATAAGAGCTGATTAAAAGTTTTCATAGTGATGGATGAAACGGGCCTGATCCCTCTTGTTCATCTGCTGACAAGCTTTCTCAACATTCTTGGTGAGTCCAGGCGGTCCACAGCTGAACACACCAATTTTCCCCACCTAGAGAAAAGAGTACACATTCATATGTGACAATTATGAATATGTGTTGTCCAGTTTGAAGTATTCAGCAAAAAACTGGATTCAGAAAGATGAGAGACCGACCTCAGGGTGAACTTCCTGCAGTGAGCTGAAAAACGACACAAAGGGCGGACGTCCAAAGTGAGTGACGGAGCGCAGGCCGGTGAAGAGACTGCGGTTCCACACCTTCTGAAAGTGGCGCTCACACACGTACTGCACACAGATGATGTAGAAACTGCTTAGTGAGTCATTTCAGCTTTGTATCTGACCTCTTGCTGGACACAATAGAGCTTTAACCTGCATTTGTGGGCGGCACTGTGATCTATGTCACCAGACCGTTTACAGAGATTCCTGAGAGAGTTCCTGAGCCCACGTAGTGACTAACTCCATCTCTTGGAAACTTTTCATGATACAGTATTTTGTACTGCAGATGACATGCAATGTCTTTGAAATTGTGCATTTAGTCAAATTATTTTTAAACTGCTGCACAATTTGCTGTAACATTTCTGACATTATATCCACTTTTTATTTTGTGAGTCTGTGTCTGGGGTCCTTTTTTCAAAATTAAATCTCTTTACTGAATTGTTGCCAATCTAGCTAATATACTGCAACATGTTCCTCCTGCTGTCTTATCGGCGCAACTCACCTCTCCAGTATTTTATTATTCCCATCTCAACCTATATAAAATACAATGTTCTCACAAAATGGCAAATTATTTCACATCTGTTCTATTGTGGATGTTGCTTTTTTGTTCTGCTCCTGTCGAGTTGGGGTTGTGCTGAAAGCATGTACTGGTTCTGAGGTTCTGCTCACTATGCAATTGATATTGTGTACTGTATTCAATGCACCTGGGAGAAAATTTAAAATCAAATGCATGTATAATCCTTTAAAGTAGTGTGTCCTGCTATTGTGAAACACATCTGTAAGTCAAAATACCTTGTTGAAACATTGCTTTGGTTTACAAATGACCATTTGATACATTTTTATCCATTCATTCTATTATACACAAATGTAGAAATTGGAAGTTCAGATCTTACCAACATGGTGGTGCGCAAGTCGAATTTTTCAGCCACCTGAGTTATGTAAGTGTGGACTGAGACCATCTCCTGGGTGTCTATTTCCTCCACTTCCCTGATGATATCTGACACCCACTCAAACTGACGCTGCGTCCGTGTCACCCAAATGAAATACACCTTCAAACAACACAAGGCTGTCAGTCACAGGACGTAAAAGCTGCCAACTCAAATGTGCAGTCTGCTATCGAGACACACTTTTTTACAGAGAATCTTGGATTTGATGGAAGACTTGAACACCAGGTCTTTGAGGATGGAAGTGAAGGGTGTCACTCCTATTCCTCCACCCACCAGAACAGACACCTCGAAGTCAATCCACTCCTGATGACCCTCCCCAAAGGGGCCATCCAAGTACAGCTTTAGGTAAAATGCAAAAGAAACATTTGTGTCACAATGTAGGAAAACAAGGGGATTTCTAAATTTAAAATGTGAGTCAAAAACAGAGAGGCCTGCCTTTGGATAGGCCCCGAGCTCCAGAAGGCTTTCCTCAGTGTAGAGCTCTCTCAGCTGGCTGGTCCAGGGGCCCACAGCTCGAATGTGCAGGCTTAAGGTCTCTTCGTGAGGTGCTGATGTCAGCGTGAATGGGTGGTACTCATCTGTTCCCAGCATCAGGCACGCTATCCGAACCCACTGGCCTGAACGGTACACAAAACCCTGGGGCCGCTTGAATTCCAGATGTGTCACACCTAAGGGTAGGACAGCCAAGGGAGGTGCTGACTCCAAACTCAGTATCCACGGTGAAAGACTGATATTAAGGAGAAACAGATGACCTCACATTTGAAGAAAAATAAAAAAAGATGTCACCTGAGGGCAGCAGCTCAGCTCTGACAACGGGAATCTCCACCATCTTCCTGCTCAGGCTGATCAGTTTGTCCAGCAAGAAGAGCAAAGCAGGAGGAATCAGGTAGATGTGAAACCGAGGCTCTTGGAGAAGAGCATAGCTGCCATGAAGAACAGTCTGTTGGATAAACACAAAGCTGGTGTCAAACCACTTTACACCAGCCACACTGTCAGCATAGTAAAAATGAAAGTACTTACCAGAATGTACACAACAACGTAGAGGTAATGAGTGATCCAAAATCCACGAAAGCTGATGCGACGGAAATAGCGAGACGCAAACACATACATAAACGCAAATGTAAAGAGTAGCAACACACCAGTGATCCCTGGGAAACGAAGACAAAGACAGAAAAAAAAAACATTGACTAGGAGTCAATTTCTGAAATTTACAGCCTCGGGTGTAAGTTTCAAATTCAGTCCCGTGTTTTACCTGGGACGGTCTGAAGGAACCACCAGTACCACTTGGGAGGAAGCTCAGACCTAAATCATAAAGACATTAAATAGTAAAGAACTTTAAGTAACTCAATGATATTGATACATTTCATGGTGAAATCTGAATTGTTACCCATTGTTGGTCAAGATTTTGGGAAACAGACAAGACAGGATGCTGAGGTCACTGATGGAAAAAATGTAGATGTTGACCACATGTCCCAAACTATGAGCAACTGCAGCCAGAACACAGACAAAAGCAGGAAAAGCATGAGGAAAACTGAAGCCTTTGACATGTTATTTAGTGACATTTCACTGTAACCTCTCTAGTGCAAAAGAGGACACTACCTGGAAAATAAATATTCATAATGTAATCATCTATGCTCCTATCTCACCATCTTATCCTGTTAAACTGGAAATACTTTAAACCCCTTTGTCATGCCAGATGGCTGAAGGCTGTCTTGTCCTATTTAAAATTAGAAAAAAGATTAAATATGCCCTCATAGGGAAAACGGCTGAGTTCAGGAAAACATGGACCCATTTATTTCACTTCTGTTAGTGGGAGAACAAACTAGAATGATTCATAGAGCCCTCCTGCATTAAAATGTGTAGTCGTGTGTATGAACCTATTGTCTTTTGTTCTCTTTCTCTCTTCTAACCCTTCAAACAGGTTGTGTGTCTGGTTTGTGTATCTCTTGGGAATACTCAAACACTTAGTATTTTTGCCTGAAATGGGGCACAGCTCTGCTTGAGTTGAACATGAATGCAGATGAATTATCTACATTAGAACCATTTTTTATTTCCTTTAGTGATGCCTCTGTTAGGATTATTCCGGTCAGTGAAGGTGAGCTAATTTGGAAAGTGGACTGTTAAAGGGTGAAGTGGTGTATTAGGAGGATTAATGGCAGAGGCAAGAGGCATGGATGCATGATGTGGGCGGGAAATGTGGCTTACTCTGCATATCAACAAGCTTTCCAATTGATTTGCTCCAGACCAAAGATGTGCAAGAAATGCCAACTTTTAATTACTTCCAATAATTATCATCATTCTTCAAGTGCCAACCTGAGAGGACGATGGCCGTCATGGCCATGAGTCGGTGGAAGTCAATGGCAGCGTCGAAGGGGATGTAGCGGTTGAGGAAGGTCTCCCGGCACAGCGTGATGAGGTTGCGGCACACGGTGAGGAGCATGTAAGGGAACAGAAAGGATATGCCGGCCGCTGTGCCGCGCGCGACGATGATGCCCACCATGGACGTCTCGGGCATTCCGGTAGATTCCGCCTGCATGCCATAGTCTGAAAACAGGACTTGGATCAGGCCAGACAAACAGACAGGCGGTGTGTGAAGCGACGGGCGGCTTCAGCGTGCGCTCACAGTAGCAGCGCTCCGCCGTCACACCGGCTGTGACCCCGTACACGATGACCAGACACACGATGTGACGGCGATAATTCTCGATGAAACGCTTGAGGTGCTGGATTTTCTGCTGCAGGGGGTTCCTGATGTACTGCTCACGCTTGGGCTTCACGTACACATTCGGGGTTCTGACACTTAACCTGAAAATGAAGCATGATATTCTGCTCACGGATTCTCAACCTACCTTATTGTCTGTGTTGGTAATGCACCCTTATGAAAATCATGCATTCAATAAGATGAAAAATCACCATGATGATAAAAACAAGCTGCTTGTGTCCAAATACCTTGGACTGTGATTAACTTCTAAATCCTTATTTTACAGTCAGAGTGTCATTTAAAACATCAATTCAAATGAGAAAAAAAGCCTACTTTTTTCGTCTGCGTAACTCCAGCCCGTCTGTTTTGTTGCTGCAGAGAATAAAGGTTCAACAAAACCGTAAAACAGATAGGCATTTTGATTTTCTGTCTCCAGCAAAAAGCAGCACTAGCTTCTTCTTTGCTTTCTCTGTAGGTTATTAATCGCTATCTGCCTGTGCTGTTTTCTGACCTGTTTGCTGGACAGATAAAGGACACTCTTTGGTCTCGACTCAGCCGTTTCTTCCCCTGTTTCTCCATCCCTGCACAAAGAAGAGAAACCTACCCGTCTGACAAGGTCGAGGAAAGAAAAGGACATTAACCACCTTCTTACACTAAACTTTCTCTAACCTTTCACATTGAGCTGAGCAAACTGCAGCTCCTTCTCGTGATCTCTCAAGAGGAAGTGAAAGTCCACCCATGAGATTTTCTCCTTGTTATCAAAGCCAGCGGCCTGCATCATGGCCTTGATGCCGTCCTCTGCCTGTTTCTTTGACAGAGCACCGTTGGAGATTTCAATGAAAGACCTGTAATTCATCAAAAGGATGAAGTCAAAACACCCAGAGAAAACTTTTTGTGTGTTGCCCTGAAGTGAGATAAAGCAGCATCAGGGAAACCTGAGCATCCTGGCAAATTCTTCTTTGGATAAATAGCCGGTCCCACTAATGTCATTCATGGAGAACATCAGTTGGGATTTTTCCTCTGGAGACCCTGGAACCATAAAAAGAATAAGTATGCAGATATGTCAAAGTATCACACATCTACATTCATATAATTTATATTTAGTTATTCATATCTTGTAGCCAAAAGCTACATATTATGTATGTATAATGGATTCTTTCTTCATTAATTCAATGAGCAACTTACTTACCCCTATGTGTGTTGTGAGACTTTTTTCTACGGCAGATTTAGTGAGTCATCAGAAAAGGTGCTGACCAACATAAATTAACTAACTATTAATAATTTAAGAGACAGATGGTCTAAATTCTGCATAGGAGGCTTTGGAAATTTGTAAAAAATTTGGAAGAAACTGATTTTGTCTGGTTTAATTCTTGTTGAAAATCCATTATAAATGTTTATAATAATCTTTTCATTATTTAGACTTTTAGATGCTGCGCATGAATGGTAGCCAGCCTGACGAGCAAAGGAGGTGGCGTAGTTTGGAATGAGGGGTTTTACCTTTCATAAAGATAACGATAACATCAAGAAACTCCTGAAAAGAGAGGTAACCGTTGCCATCTTTGTCGGCCAGTGTGAACATGGAGTTCACAAATAAGGAGTCAGGCTTCAGGCCGAGTGCGTCAGCAAACTCTGACGCTGTCAGCTCACACTGTAGAACCTCTCGGGCTCTCTTGCGGGACACACGGCTCATATCGCCAGCGTCACACTTCTCGATTTCCAAGACCTGTGCCCCAGGAGAAGAGTGACGGACAGGGTTATTATTTGTCACCATAGGGTGACATCAACAACGTCAGCAGAGGATATCCCAGATGAAGTCACTGTCAAGACCAACCAACAATTAGCCCACTTGGTTTCAGGCTGGACCTAATTTGACCTCAAACAAGAGCTGAAGTCATTTTGTGGCTGAGTTGGAAGCTGCTCCGGCTGTACGGAGCAGATGATGAGGTAAATATCCAGAGGCTGACTGTACCTTAGAGAAAGCATGCCGGATGAAAGTCTCCACAATCTGAGCCCTCTGCTCTTTGGTTAGAGCCTCCCTCAGCAGCTCCTTCTCTCCCATCTCAGTCACTCTAATCTCCTGCCTTATGTCTGTCACCTCCAGGCGCAGAAGCCCCACAAAGTCTGTGCGCTTGCTGTCTTCATCAAAAAACAGCACCTGGATGTGCAAACAGGGAGAAAGAGGAAAGATAAACAGGGCTGGAGGGAGATAAAGTGATGGAGAGCCGATGCACACTCATGCTTACATCAGGGACTAAACGAGGTGAAAAATTAAAGCAGAAGAAACGTCCCCGTATTAAATCAAAATCCAGACAAGCGTAAAGTGTAAACACTCCTAAAGCTAAACACAAAATTGTAGACACACAGATGTATTTCCAGTTCAATTACAAGCCTCACCAGGTCGTATTCTTTTGGCACTTTGAGAAGCAGAGCTTTATGGTGTCGGCCGTTGGAGAGAAGGACATCCAGGTGGTCCTGGTTGCCCAGACAGAGGCTGCGGAGAGTGGACCCAGACCGGTCAGAGACCTGCACCCTCCTCTTCTCCACCTCAACGCTGACTGGGTGCAGCTGTTTTTCATGGCCATGCCACTCATATGCTGCAGTGAAGGAAAGGGGAATGTTGAGAATGGACATAAATACAGGGAAATACATTTAAGAGCACTTTCTCTTTTTCTCTGCCCATAATTAGATTAGATAGACATTTTTTATCATGTCTACCTTTATTTTCCATTTAATAATGTCAGCTTTCATTTGGATTTTGTAGCTTACATAGCAGTAAGTATTCATATATATACATCTAATATTAAGTAATTGTCTCTCTTCCTAGATTCTCCATTCCCTACTTTGAATACTTCTTCATATATTTCTTATACTTTTTTTATCTCAATGTACTATTTTTAACCTTGTTGTATTTATTTTGCACCTCTATAATGTTGTCTAACTTTGGATATTTTGAGTCTTGAGTCTATTTGCAGATAAGGGGCAGGTGCACCGTGGCTGCTGATGGATGCTTGTTAACAGCTGACAATGAGTTAACGTTAAACCCTGCATGTTTTTATCAACACTGGGCAGGGCAAATACGTTCTAAGAAGGATTTTCTTTTTAATCCCGCAGATTTCATACCAGTGATTCCCACAGCTGGCTCCTCCGTTCTATCACCAGCTTTTCCTCGTCTTCTCTGGAATTTCCTGTACCTGTACTTCCGAAGATAAGCCACCATGAAGGCAACTAGTAAGCTCACTGTGAAGGTAAAATGACCAAATCTGTCACACATAAACGGCTGATAAGGAATATCTCTTCAAAGAGAGAGAGAGAGAGGGACAGTGAGATACTGACCAACAGGGAAGAGGAACAAAATGACAATAAATATCCCAAAGCCAGCTTTGCTCCCATCAAAGTAATCAAGTTTTGTGGCATTAGTGCAGGGATGCAGCATTGATGCATTTAGCTGTGCGGGCTGAGGACAGGGGTCACCTGTTAACAAACACACAGCTTTTGTATTTCAAATAGCATTTCTTTTCCAAAAAATTCACTCATAGAGATAGTGTCATTTTACCATCCCTCCAGAAGAACACATTATTTTGAATATCAGTGACTTCTGCACTTGTGACAGCAATAAGAACATCTTGATAAGTGACATTGCGGATTGTCTGAATCTCTTCATCTGTAAACAGACTGGAGACAAGAACACAGAGGTGACAGATTATTTACAATAAGGGCTATAAAATAACCGTTGTATTACATTGCCTTATTTCTGACAAAACCTTCTAAGATTACCCATTTTGTTTGTTTTCAAACCAGAAGCGGTCTCCATTTCTGATGCGTTCAAACTGGTCCAAGATAATGGCAGCGAAAACAGGACCTGGACCATCATGGGACTCCAGCAGTCCTCCAGGGAAGAGCTCCAGTTTAGAGATGTCTCTGTTGTACAGCTCTGCAATATCGTGTAGCAGCTGTCGCAACACATCACACGACAAAGTTTAATTCACAGGATTAAGCTTTTTTTTTATGGAACGATAGGTCAATCATTACATAAAGATATTGCTGTTTAGGGAAACTGAAGCATTAACCTGTGGGTTGGCGCTGCTGAGCTCAGGATTAATTTCTTCAAATGTCTTTACGGGAGGCAGATCCAGAGCTTTTCTCATCTCTGTGTAGCTCCGTAGACCAAAGTCTCGACCCCTCTGGATTGTTGTAGCAACCAGATCTGTGCGGGTGAATCTCAGCTGCCCGTACATGTAGTCTTTCAATGTGTAAATCATATTGGAGGGTTGGGAATCAGTTTGGTGATTGTGACTGGCATGTAGAAGGATAACACATAGCGAACAAGAAAGACTACATACCCCTCAAATCCTCCACAACAATATTGTCCTCTCTCTCTGCAATCTGTGAAGCCATGCCCATGAGGAGGTCATCTACATCCTGACCGGTCTTCACATTGACTTTCTGGAGAGAAAAGTAGGGTCAGAAATGTTTGGACTATTTGGCTTTAATTAAGAACCTATCACATCAAACTTGGGAAAGCCTTTTGTCGACACAGCTCTATAATAAGTAAAACTCTCCATCGTTTAAAAAAGTTTAGTCGACAGGGTCAATACCTGAGCATTTCAAGACCAAGAGGAATTTCTTCTCTCTGATAGCTGGTGTTTATAAGGGCAATTTTAAACAGCACATCCTGCATATTCTAGTCTTAAATTGAAAGCTTACTTAAAAACTCCTTGGAGGGATACCTACAGTATACTATCTAACACAGTGAGCATTTTCTTTGTGCATACAACCTTTAATCTATCTGTACTCAGCAGAAAAACTAAAGTAAAAAATATCTCCATTGGGCATGCAGTAACTGCAAAAAGTCAAATATTCTAGTGCGCTCACTGAGGACTTATCAACGCGGACAGATGCTATGACTTATTCTTGTTATTCTCCTGTACTTTTCAACTGTCCAAATAAATAGATATGCATGCACGCTTGTGCCTGTGCTGCATGTAAAAAATCTTACATTCTACTCCTGATTTGAAAAAACGAATATAAGAGTCAGCTTAGTTTTGTGCAAAAGACAATCAAAACGCAAAAACCTCTAAAACAGTATAAAATTCTCATACATATATCTAGACATAAATAAACAGTTTTATCAGACTTTACCTGCCGCTTCCAGAAGCTGTTACAGAGCCGCATTGCTGGAGAAATGCTCCCATCTTTGTTGATAACCTTTCGAAAATGGCATGTTCTGTTTCTGTAGGGAAAAAGCAGAGTCAGCACAATACATTTTTCAAGACATTTACACCGTGGGCTTTAGGTACGGTAATATAAAACAAAGGTAAGCTGCTACTTTTTGCAGAGAGCCCAGAGGAAAGAAAAAAGAAACACTACCTACCTCATGTAAACACCAGGGGGAGCCATAGTGACACCAAACCGAATAGCAGCAGCCTGGAACTCCGGTGAGATCCCTGGATCAACAAACTTCTGGTAGCCTGTATGCAGCAAAACATAATATAAAACATAATTAGACAGCCAGACATCAGAACTAAAGTCAGAAACATCCCTGTGCATGCAACCCCACTGACATATCCGAATAGTGTAAAGGAGGCTGCAAAAGTAACACAGACACAGCAGGTAAAAGTGACTAAGGTCATGGGATCATCTGACCAGTGTCCTTTATCTTTCCTCAGCCATGGCTGCTTGTTCAGCAGAAGATGGAGACCCAGGGGCCGCTTTGCTGACGGAGCACATACTTGTCAAACACCACTAACGATAGCTCACTTCGCCACAGCCTGTGGTCACCGGCGCATTACCTGTTCCCCTCCACTTGCACGTACATGGTCTCTGGCAGATTTTTACCTGGATAAGGAGGAAGCTTTGTGTCTCTGAGGTATCCGGGCAGCCATTCGTAGAGCGCAATATTCTATGTAGAAATGAAGCAAGGGTAAAAGTGAGAGCAGATTCCGCTTTATGTACACTGCAACTCTTACTGTAACTTTATGTGGTAATAAATCCCTGAGGCTGATTTGTTTCCTTGACTTTGCTTCCAGCTGTGGGTTAATTTACTCCTCAGGCAAATAAAACACTCCATTGATCAGTGTTGAATATCACAGTTTGTTGGCCAGTGTTTAATTTAGCAAAAAAAAGAGGAACCTGAGTCTTTTTCAAGATAGTACGTGCAGGAAACAGGGATGACGCACTGGCCCTTAACGACCACCTGTTGTTGATGCGACCTGTGTCTTTCCAGAGTGCAAATTAAATCAGCATCCGTGCAGCGAGAGGATTACACTGAGACTTTTCCTTCTACCTGGAATGTGGCCACAACGGTCTTTCTGGCATTTTGAAAGAGCCTCTCATCTGACCACTCTGGGTGTTCCTCATGCAGCGTGGAGGCGATATAATTGTGGTAGCGAAACCAGATAATCCCCTCTGCTGCCGTGAACATGTTCTCATTGGCCCAGGCATTTCCCAACTCTAAACACACAGAGAATGGCACAAACAGGGATGTTCAACAGATCCATCAGAAAAATGTATGTCACAACAGCCACAGCACAAAATACAAAAACGAGTTGGATATCTGAATGATTTTTTCCCCTGAAAAGAAAAAAACTTTAAATCCTCAAACATCCTGCATGTCATCTGTACTGGTTTGGACTCTTGGTGCACTGATTGATAAATATCTCTAAACCCTAAAGGAAAGATAATCCGTCTGTTTGTTTCAAGGAATGACACAACAGAGCAGGGACAACGGAAGAAGAGCCGCAGATATTATCTCCACATCTTTCACAACACAATGAAACAAAACACTGGTTTCATGACACACGCGTGGTATCTCTTTTGCCATAGAGAGAGAGATTAACTGTGGTGAGTGTGACATGCCATTTACACAATAGCTGAGGAGTCATAGCCCGCGTCAGGCTGGGCCTCTGCTGACTCAACCTCCAATTGCAGCCCTGATTAAGGGTGAAATAATAATAATATTTGCTTCCCATTTCAAATTTCGTTTGCTTTTGGCCGCCTGCAGAATTGATCATGCGGTTATTGCAACATCCATAGCAAGACTACAATGCTGCTACGAATCCCTAAAGCACAGACCATTAAACGGTCCAGTCAGGAGATTTTCAGATACTTGGACACCGATTCGGTGCATCTAGTTTGTGATGACTGTATAAAGGAACTGTGAATCTTTAAGGACTAAAGTTATGATGTCACAAGTCAAATTTTTTTTGCCACAGACTCCATCTAAGGAGACGAATGGTTTATAGGTTTTCAGTCAACTATGCCTTTAATAATTGATTTTAATCATATATTGATTTTCTTCTTTCTTATTCCACCAGCGTCCATGATATTTTCATAAAATGCCTCATGCATTTGACTGCTGATGACTGTCTATCTGACGATAAACTGAATTTAGTGTCTGCCAGACCTTCTGAAGTGTAAAAACGCTCACCATAAAGGCCTTCCGGTCCACGTTCTCCTGTAGACGGATCTGCAGCGCTCCACATAAAGCCGCGGCCTCCTCCCTGATTCGGCATGTTCCACTCTGGACCTGACTTCAAGAGCCCTTCAGAGAAGTTCCTCAAAGAGTCAGACCAAGAAGTTGAGGGGCCGTAAATCGAGCTTCCATCTATCCACGCTGTCACCGAATTGACCTGCCAAGAGGTGGAGAGTTAAAAAAATAAAATCATCTGAGCATTGGAAAATAAGGGCCACCAGACTGTATCACTTTGGTGGCCCTGCTCCCCTCTCTCTGAGGGTTACAGTGGGACTTCATGAGCTGCATTTAAAATACATTGACAAGGAGCAGTGAAGGGCACCTGTGTGCGAGGGTTGCTGGGACTCTGCCCGGACTCTTTATCCCACGTTCCTCTTTGGAAGGGCAGCAAGACTTTTCCAGTGGCCATGGGGTCAAAGACAGGGTCACCTTTTGGGACTTGGATGCTCATGAACTCAGGAGGACAACCAGGAGCTCTTGAGTCAAAAATGTCAAAAGCGACATGATAACCTGAAAAGTTTCAGAAAAGTGTTTTCAGATTGTTACCCAGTTGCAAAGATCCTTTAATATTTTCAACAAATATTATCAGTGTTTGGACTGCAATTGAATTGAAAATATTTTCCCTAACCAATTTGAAAGACACAACAAATATATGGTTACCATTTCAACATGAGCATGTATTAATACACGGTCTGTTGTGTTCTTTGGTAAAATATCAACCATAATTCTACCCATGTCAGGCTCCCAATTATGTCGTCATTAGTGGCCCTAACACACCAATATTATTACAGTTGTTAAGCACCAGAGTAAACATAGTTTTTCTATACTGTTTACCCTACAAGTCCATGCACTTTTGCAGCACTTTCCTTATAATGCAAGTAGAAAAATGAGCATGTCGTGTTGGATGTCACTGACCCCTCCGGTCACAGTGTATATAAACTTTTTTTAAGTGACGCACAAAATGCACTTTAATTACCAAAGAAGAGAGATAACACGGTCCGGTTGCGCGCGGACCGCAGACCGGACGGCCCTCCGGCCAGCAGCCGGCTGAGCGCGCGGGGGTTGGGCCGCTGCGGCTCGTGCACGGGCTGGTAGACTCCGTCCCGGTAGTGCGCGGGCACGAGGCGCACCAGGTGAGAGCCTGCGCGGGCGTGAACAGCGGGGGTGAGCAGGTGCGCGGTGGCCGGCTCTGAAGGGAGCGAGGTCCCCGCTAACTCACCCACAGATCCCCGCCGGGGGCATCCCAAACTGTTGTACCAGCCGTCGAAGCGCGGGACCTCCCAGGCCGCCTCACCGCGCGTACCTGCTTTTATTATTTTTCTGTGACCCATTAAATTCGCTTTTTCAATGAGTTCCAGCGGCTGTTTACTTACCCTCACTGACAAGGAGCCCCAGGCCAACCACAGCGCACACACTCCAAAGCCATTTACGTAAATCCATTGATGCGCGAGGTGCTCCTCAGCTCAGCGTCCAGCTGGAGAGAGTGAAAAGCCTCTGAAAAAGGGAAACAGGAGGTAGGTAACTGACCCTCATCGCTGTTTCATTGAAATGTTTTATGCTTTGCTAGTTTATCAGAGTTCAGAGGAAAATAGGAGCAAGTCTCCAGTTCCAGATGCAACATAAGATGCATTTTGTAACTTTTAATTAATAGAAAAAATAGTTTCAAGCCTGCAAACTTGAGACAGTCTCGGTGTGCCTTTAAATGGGGTAAAGCTCACCTGCCAAAGAGCTGTAGATGCTGAGCAGATGCAGTGCAGGTTGAAGCTCATGTGTAGCTGAGGAATGCTGGAAGAAAAGCCAACGTGTGTTTCTCTGCTTATCTCAACGTGTATGTGACCTATTCCCCAAATGGGAATGGCCATCATGTTTGGATCACACCTCTTTTCCACAGCATTCCAGTCCATGCATCCTCCTCCTCCTCCCCCTCCTCCTCTGTGACATATAAAAGAAGTGTACATTCCCTCATCTGTCAGACTCCTCTCACTTCTTCTTCAGCCCCTGTCCTGAAACTTTCAGGTAAGAGATGTCTGTTAGATTTGCCAGATTCATGTTCAGAAACAAAAGGGGTTTTGTTGAAAAGTTTGCATTTCGGTTTAATTTATCATCCAAGTGAAGAAATAGTTGACAGATGCGGGTTAAACTAATGCAGTCTCAATGAGGATTTAACAGGTGCATTTCTTTCTTTTTCATTAAGAGACAGAGCGATTAAAAGCTGGCAGCTGTTACATAAGTTAGACACGCTCGAATTTAATCATGTGCCACGTTGAAAGGTGATACTATCCCTTATCAGTTGAGCAGCATGAGCTGCTATCTGTGCATCTGGAGGAAACTGAGAACCCGGCCGGTAACACTGCCTTCTCTGTTGCAGTGCCTGCTCTCAGCTGAATCCTTAGATCCGAAGCTAAGATGACTTTTTACGACGACATTTACCCATTCTACACTCTACAAAGGACTTCCTTCATTATCAGTGGCCGCTTGCTCCTCATTATTTTGGTCTTCCTTGTGCTAGCAGTCAGCCTTCTTCTCATTCTGCCGGGAATACGAGGAAAGTCGGTGAGTGCAATCCATCAGACGGCCCGTGACTCACCGCAAACACCCAATGGAGAAATCTCCTCAGCTTTTGCTGGGATACTATGTTTTGCTATACTGTAATGCGTTGATCTTTTTGCCATTTAAAACACCTGCGCTCCTCTCAATTCTGCTCTTTCGCTTCCCGCCAGCGGCTGTTCTGGATGTTCAGGATAATAACCAGCTTGTTCATCGGAGTGGTGATTGTGGGTGAGTTTAGGACGTCCGTCAGAGCTATGGAATATTTGATGGTTTTCCTTTTTCCTGCAATCATGATCCAGCCTGGTGTCTTTTCTGTGCAGCGCTCAATTTCACTAACAGCTGGGCTGAGGCCAGAATAACCACAAACGCCACCTACAAGTCCTTCAGCAGCGCAGTGATCAGCGCTGATGTGGGCCTGCACGTCGGCCTGTATGGCATTAACGTGACATTAAGAGGTGAGTCACTGACCCGGCTTAACTGCTGCTCCAGTAGCTCCCCCATTTGAAAGATGGTGGAGTTCAGATCACTAGTTTTAACACTAAAGCGGAAAATCTGCGATTGTTTTATTTTATTTTATTTATTTTTACAATTTTAGATGTGCCATCTGTATGTTGCACGTATGACATCCTGTTTATCCCTTCAGGGAATCCTCTCGTGCAGCATAATGAGACCATTAACTACAATGAGATGTTCAACTGGCATGACACGATTGAAGAAGAGTATGAGGATGCTCTGGAGAAGGGTTTACCCAACCCCATCCTGTACATCGCTGAAAAATTCACCCTGAGAAGCCCGTGTGGTCTCATCTTTCAGTACAGATACTCTGGACGATATGCTTCTGCAACCCTCTGGTCACTATCAACAGCTCATACTTTTTAACTTCGCTGAATAATATGTCGATACTGTCAGTAGAAGCAGAAGTTAAAGCAACTTCACCATGATTGTTCCACAGGACAGCGTTCTGCTGCTGGCTGCTGGCCAACATCCTCTTCTCCATGCCGGTCATTCTGTACGCTGGTTACATGATGATGGCCACTGCCGCCTTCATTTTCTTCTCCATGGTCTCGTTCTCCACAATCATGAACGCGCCCAAGTGTGTGTTCTCCATAGGAACGAACTCTTTTGTGACACATTACAGCCACTCCTTCTGGCTGGCTCTGGCAACAGGTAAAGATATGCACATTTTTGCAAACCTATCTTAAAAAACCTGACTTGGAGAGAAGAGATTTTTGATAACTGAGACCGATTTGCAGGTCTGCTGTGCACTGTCATTGGGATTGTTGTTGTGACTTTAAACTTCCTGATGCCAGAGAAGATAAAAGCAGCGTTCAGTGTTGGCGTGGACAGCTGTGAGGATGAGGATGCGTCTTGTCGGGAGGGGTACCTCAATTCAGTTTTTCTTGATGGAGCGACAATATCACAGCTGGAGTCAAAAGTGACCTCGGTAAGTTGAATGTATGGATCAAGTATAATCATGGGTAAGATTAAAAAAATGTGTCTTTTTTATTACTTTTCACCTTCTTATTAAACAAATAGAACTTAGAATCATGTTTATTCTGTAAGATATGCTTTCAGTTAATGTAGGAGCTCTTATTCATCGTCCTAAATACAGATTTTTTTTTTTTACATATTGTCTGATGTTGGGATTCCACCATGTGAGAATTTTGCTTGTGTTTTAGGAGCTTGTATGAGGCGGTCGAGATGCCCTGCAAGAAGCTTCCACAGTTTATACTTGAAGATACTTTTGCTGAATGTGTAATAGACTGACTGTCTAATTTCACACCCTTTTTTATTTTCTGTCAGCCTGTAAGTGTTAAGTGTTACCTTTAAATGTGTGTTTCAATTTGTACAGTTCATTGTCAGGGTGTGGAAGTAGTAAACAAGATATAGATTTGTATGGGAGGGTGTGAGTGTGTGTGTGTACTGATCAATATGGATGATAGGTTCAACTCGTTCAACTCTTTTTTAAATTAGATATAAGAAAATGATGTGGTAAGATTGTATTTTGTGATAGGTGACGGTGCCATCAAGATATATCTAATCAGTTACATGCTGTAATTTCAGTTTATCATGCGTGTAGTCTGAGTGTTTGAACGTGTTTCGATATTTCTGAGTGCCAAGTAAATGTGAAAAAAACTGTTTGAAATGCCTCATATAAGTACAAATCCAATAATTCAGCCAAATGTATTTATTTTGTCTTATGTTTGAGGTTTTCTGTTTTGCAACATCTTAATAAAATGAAAGCAAACATGAGTTCAGCAGTGAAATGATATTTTTTTAGAGTGTTGTATCATTACATTCATCCAGTAATGTGTATTTGAATACATTCTTGTAGGTTCTGGCAAATGTAATGATCACCAGTACTGTTTGTCTTTGAATAGGAGTGTCTTTGGCCTTCAGCATCACCGTAATACACTGAGTTTAATGCCTTTGCACATCTTATTTGATCATCTTTTAATACTTAGTGTAATAGATTATCATGTCAGATTGAGAGTGAATCCCTGGTTGTTTTTTTTAAATAATCACATGCATACTGTATTCTGCAGGAGTAATATGGCCTTTCCGAACAAATCCTTGAGTAATCCAAAGTATTTACATTAAAGTACAATTTTAAACCCCATACACTTTATAAAAAAATGACTAAATAAAAAATAAATGTACCAATTTATCTCTTCATAAGAAAATAATCATGACCATAAAGCTACTTCTCTTCGACACCATAGACTCACATACAGTACTACAGATGGTATTCACATTATAAGGCCATTATGACAATGTAATCCAAGATAGAACCTGAAAATGAGAACTGGATGTTCTTTACAGCATCGTAACAAGAGGCCAAACCTAAAATGATAGAAAAATAAATTCTTCTCATCCCACCCAGCCGCCTGTTCATCGACTCCATGCAGCCAGTTGAGCAGAATCCCAGGGATCCATGCTGGTCTCTAAATGTAGAGAGGTGTCTCCTGTCCTGTCAGCAGTCTGAACATCACAGCAGGCATCGTCTTCATGTTGATCTAACACAAAGGCAGACGAGAGAGGGGCCATTCTGCGGTCAACTTAAGCCAATACGTAGATGCAGAGATGTAAACAAACAACTTCCAGGTCTAATGTACTCTGAGCAAATTGGTTAGGAAACACCTTGGCACACGAGGTAAACAAAATTAACCATAGGAGCTACGAGTGGCTTATTGGGAATGCTTTGCCAGTTGAGAGTTATATTAAATAAATTCTGATCCCACCACTGTGTTGAAAAGAAACAGAAGGATTTGACAGTATTCAGTAAAACAATGGGAACCCTAACTCTCACATCTTAAGTTCAGCTTTCGGTTTAAAGGTTTTCAAATGGAAAATCATCCGTGTTGCACTGACTTTCTTTCTTCTTTTAAATCCATACAATTACATCAAACCAACAAACATAATCTCTTTCAGTGTGGACTATGCAGTTTCTACCTGCCTCCAATGTGTGAATAAATCCAGTCCTCTCCAAATGTTTTTTCTTTTTTTTCCCACCACCATGATGTTACCACCTGCTGTCATTCCAATACTCAAACTAAGTTATCACTCTGTATTAAACATATTTCTTTACCTCTGCAGCATAGCTGTCTTTATCTGATTTCTTTCCAATGTTGTGTGGACAGTTTTACATAATCTGCTGTAGGTAGGTGCAAGAATTTGAGAAAAATAGGAGGTTATTGTAACTTTATGCAGGTGGAATCCACTGTAATACCACATGAAAACGCTAGAGGGGGTATAATTTATTTATTTATTTAATTATTCATTTATTTATTTATTCATGTGCCAAGCTTGGACATGAGACACACCTAAGGGTTTCAATAATTCAACTCAGAGTCCTGCATAATACGAACCATATTTGGTTTGTCTGAAAGATTTTCCTTCTGTCATGGCTTACCTTTGATTTCTGCCCAGTGGATATTCATGTTTGTCTCAGTCGTTTTAAGCAAAAAACATCAGTTAGGGCATATAGAGATATGCATTTCACATTTGCACTCAAGGAGATTTTTTGTTGCTGTTCTAAGTCTCCTGGTAGCTCTGAAAGGTCTCTGTTTGTGTGGTGTTATAAGCTGTGAAAATTGCCATCTTGTGACATGACAATTTCTTACCTCACCCACTGACACAGACAGGGTTTGAACAATCTTCTCATGTGCCATGGCAACAACACTCTGACCGTTTATTTCAATAATTCTGTGTCCCACACGAACACCACCTCTCTCAGCAATGCCACCTCGCATCAAACTGCAGATCTGAGGATACAAAGAAACAAACCAAAAAAAAAAGGAAAGACGCACATGATAATAATCATCGTGAGGGATGAACAACCTTTCACTTTGACCCTCGACTTGAGCTTACTCACAATGCCATTCTGAACACTGAAGCCGAGCTGAAACTTTAGGTCAGGTCTCTTGATGAGGACAGTGGTGACAGGGGGGCAGCTCACAATACTCAGCTTGACTTTCACTTGATTCTTCAGACCCTGGAGCAAGAACCAAAACACGTTCTGTTTTCTGTTGATGATGTAATCATATAACACAATCAATCTCTTTTGAACCAAATAACTGTATCGGCGTAGTGGTGGTTAAAAAAAGGAATGTGTTTGAATGGATTTGAAGGTCATGGGCTGAAGACATACTTCATAGATTTGGGGATATAAAGATAAAAAAGAATGCTGCCAGCCCTGCCATTGATTAGTTTTCAATGGCTGAAATAAAGAAGGATATTGTGCCATGACTACCTATATAGTTATTCAGTCTAGTCTAGTCTAGTCTAAACACATATTTATGAAGATTAAAAGTGTGGGAACAAAGGAAATTCACTTGACAATTTACAGTTTACATTCAACCTTCCACATTGTCATTGATTTGCATTTACCTTAATTTCATTTGAGATAAGCAAATATACCGGCATACGAAGACTAAGTGGTGGAGGAGTATGAAATGCACCTAACCTTGATGATGCCCTGACAAGTGGCCAGTGGTAGTCCCACCAGACTTGTGTCGTTGATGGACATAATCTGATCCCCGACGCTGAGCTTTCCAGAGCGGGCTGCAGGGCCACTGTTCAGCATGCTGGCCAGTATGACGGTGGGCAGAATGGAGCCCCAGCCAGACTCCACTATCACCACGCCCAGGATCTCCCCTTTCTGCTTCTCCACATGCAACTGGAACACACATTTTGGAACATTTTGACCTTTTTCTAACCTATTTTCATCATCACTTGGAAGATTCTTATTGGTGCATTGAGATTAGAAGGAAATCCACCAAGATTTAAAAAAAAGGCTTACCTCTTTGCAATTATCTGAATTTGAGAAATGGACAAGGTCATCGTGGTACATTTCCTGGGAGTTGATGATGTCGCTGTACTGTTTGTGGCTCAAGTCGGTGGGGTTGATGCCATTGGCTCGCAGGAATTCTCTGTAGGCAACACTAAAAGCCTGACCGATGGACTGTGCAATCAGCTGTGCCTATGGGAAGGGGAGCGTTTGGGCAAAACTACTCAGAAGAAACTCTATCCCAGTTGACAACAGCAAGGAAGTGAGAAAGATCACAGTGGTTTGAGTGACTGCAGAAAAACTATCTAACCATCTAAAGTATAATCCAGATGCGACAATGCAACAAATACTTACATCCTCTGATTCAAAGACGTAGCAGATCATCCTGTACTGACTCCTCCCTTCGCTGGTGGAGTCGGACGATTCAGAGAAGTCCTCTGAGGAGGCCTGGGACATGCGCCTCCGTGCCATCAGCACCACAATGCTGCCGATGTCCGCGATGTAGGAGATGGTCCGCAAGGCACTGTCCATCATCGTCTCCTAAAGACAGCAGAGACTGTGGAACAAAAGTGGCCACAGAGAGGAAGCTCAAATCCCCACACAAAGCTCAAAGAGTCACTAACCTGTGTATCAGCATTCAGTACTTTAACAGCTTTAGTAGATATGAACAGGTCCACCTCTGTCATCATTTGGGATTCTTCATCTTGGCTCTTTGAAATGAATTGAGAAGTCACTTTTCAGGGCTTTGTGCGATGTTATAATTGCAGAATATCAATGTGAAAACACGAAAGGGATGAGCGCCAAACAAATGGTAAATAAATGGATTCAGTGCACAACTAGCCCTAACAGATGAGTCACACACAGTTTGGGATCTGTAAATTGCTTTAAAAGTGCAGTAAAAAGTGATGCCTTTTACTGCCGCAGTGCTGAAGAATCCTGAGAAAGGCCACCGTTCTGATTTATTAAAAATGCAAACATCGCATTTTTACTTTGTAAATCTGCATTGGGTTCATAACCCAAAATTATTAGGCAACGTGCAAAATGTAATCTGAATCTAAAACTCCTGGATGTAAAATCTGGCATGCTGCCCAAATTGTATCTAATGTAGCTTTTCCATTTTTAGATAAACTGACAAAACAAAAATAAATGTCCACTTCAAATATTTAATAACTAAATCAGTGTTATGTTAAAGGTTTTTGGGCGGATTACCTTGATGTGACTGACGGCTTCCTGAGCCTGTGACATGCGGACAGACTTGGAAGGATTTTTATCAGACAACACCTGAGTGCAGCCAAGGTAGTTAGCAGCAAAGATGATCCCATCAATGAGATCCTCTGGCTCACAGGGACCTGGAACTATGCAGCAAAAGGAAGCACTCTGTTGTAATTCATGCGTTGCATCAATGTAAAAACATCATGAAACCCAATCTTTTTCAGAGCTATTTACCATCCTCAAAGCTGGGGAAAGAAGCTGCCTCCTGTGTCTTCTTTAAAACAAATTCACAAAATTAGGTCTGTTATTAGACTTGAAAATGAAAATAGAAACAGACAATTATACAAAATGCCATATGGATGATCAATCGTCAGGTCAGAGATCTGATACACTGCTGCACATTAAAAGCTGTTAATCTTTCACAGATTTTGTATCCAAACGATTGTCCACCTGTGAAGAGTTGCTGTCCTCTGTTGAAGAAGCAAGCTCCTCAGGCCCCCTCGGCTCCTCTGGGACCTCCTCAGTCATCACAGCTGTGCTCGGCATCTCACCCTGCTTTGCACAAACAGGAGCTTTAAGTCCAATGAGTTCTATTTGAAATATTTATTTTAGAGGATAAAATAGGGCAAAGACCACTTCTGACACAGTATAATGCATGATTAAACTCAGCCTGGAGGGCAGTGGCTGTAGACTGATTACAAGAAACGGCAGTCATGAGCTCCAGAGCATGGGCCCTGACTAAAATCAGCCATATTTACACTTCTTACCTGCACTGGTTTCTCTGGCCCTCTCTGCCTCTCCTCCAGTGACTCCTTCTGTTGCTCTGCTGTGTGATGAGGAGCCAGAGATGGTTTGATTACCCTGGGCTCGCTCTCTTGGCTGTTAGCGGCAGAGGGATTTGGTCTGGGAGCAGGAAGAGTCTCTCTGTGAGGCTGGGCCTTCTGGGGGTCCGCAGGTAACTCGGCATGAGCATGGCGGGGGGGTGGAGGAGCTTGCTTCTTACTGGAATCAGGCCTAGCCTTGGACCTGACTGCTGACTTTTTGCAGTCCCTTGAACAATTCTTTGGACGCTGCTGGGTGCTGTTTGTCACGCTCCCTTTGATCCCAGAAACAAAATGCCCGGTATCCTCCCTCCTTCCTCGCCCCTTACCCTGCCGCTCCTTCTCCTTTGATCCTACGTGGGAAGGCTCGCACTTCTTACTTGCCCCTGGGATATTATGGTTTCTAGTGACTCGAGTGTCATCTTCTCTTTTTCTGTCTTCGCCTCCCTTCTTAATTCTGTCATTCTCATGGTTCTGATAAAGACCGGTCAGCCTTTGAACATTATTCTCGGTCTCCCCTGAATCCTCCACTAATCTGGCACCATCGATAACCTCTTCCAACTCATCTCCCTCACTGTGGAGAAACCTGTCCCCTTTGTTTTTTTTCAGCCCCGCCTCCGGTTCATCGCCCGCTATTGGAGTACTGTGCGACTTAATTTGATGGCCCGTTTTATATGGCTTAGGCTCTGATGGTGAACCCTCTGTTTTGTCTGTGCTCGGTTGCAATTTCAAGGCCTGAATCTGGTCTGCAGCAGCAGTCTCATTGAAATCATCACCCACTATGTGCTTCTCCTCCTCAGGACAATACTGTTTGTAATATCTAACGTCTACAACGCCCTCTCTGGTATAATGTGAAACCTCATCATAGTTCTGCTCGACGTCAGAGCCCACGTTGTCATATTCCGAGCAGGTGTCCTCCATGTCCTCTGGATTTGGGTCACAACTCATAAAATAGTGCTTTGCAGAGAGAGATGGATTCAGGTGATCTTTGTTGCCATCCTTCAAAGAACAAGATGGGGTCTTAATCGCCTCCCTCACTGAACCGTGGTGCTCTTCTGGGCTTGGTCTGCCGGCACCAGGGCACAATGGAGGGCTGGGAGCCAACACTTTGGAGATAGTTCCTGGCCTTTGTCCATGAGCCATAACTGGCTCCCTAAGCCAACTACCCTCAATGCTGTGAAGATTGATAGATAGAAAGATTTAGTACATTTTCACTTCACATTCTCATCAAAACATGATTCATACAGTTCAATTCTCTTATTCTGTCATAAAAGTCACTGGGCAAATGGTATGTTTATGCTTACTGTAGACATTAAATTTCTTTGACAGATCTAACATAAAGAAAGAAACCCACTCTAAAAGTGACTCTCTTTCTCACTCTAAAAGGTTGTGCCACTCTTTCTTCCAGAAAGACAGAAACTACTTGCTTTAAGTTTTAGTTTAAAAAATAAACTACCTTTTTGCCTGCTCATTTTTCAGACACAGTTCATTTTTCAAACACATTGCCAGAGCTTCTTTCAGTCACTCAATGCAAATCCTATAAGTAGGAGACAATTGTTTTAACAAGCGCATGCCTTCCAAAAAACAGATGCATTTATTACTTCCACGTGACACCCAGGGCTGAGCTCAGTCCCTTCCTCTGTGATGGGGTTTGTTATCTTTTATCTTATTTGGATGTGTCTGTTCTAGTTTTGTCATGATGTCCTGCAGAAGAGAAAACTTGCAGAAACTCTGCGTCCAAGAAAAGGCTTTGGTTTCAGTCACCTAAAGATATAAATCAACCTGTAAATAAGGGTCGGTTTTCAATATAAAATCTCTGATTTTGTGTTTAATTAGCCACGAACCAATTTTTTTTTTTTTTTTTACTGATCAGCTGTTTATGACCTTTGAATTGCTAAACAAACACAGATTACTAGAATCAGATAAAAGTATTGTAAAAATATTAAATGAGTTGAGTAAATATTCCATCAAATTCACTCATATTGCTACACGTTTAAGAGTCACCATGTCTTTCCTAAGTAAGAGATTAGAAACCTCAAATCCATTCCAGTCTCTGCCATCTCTCTGGTAATAACGGTTTAATTATGAGTCGTTTAGCGGTGGGTGTGCTGAGGCTAGCACACTGAGCAGCGGCTTGCTACAAGTCCAGGCCAAAGATGTCACACCCTCATCTGAACGTCACACATGTAAACTGGTGGCTAAACGCAAACCTGACAGTCTGGGTTCCAGCTTTCGTCTCATGGTTAATCGCCCTTTAGATAATTAAATGATCGTAGGTATGAAGAGTGATGATTTGATCAGTAAACCCCTGAGATTATGGCTTAATCAGTGTGTGTGTGGGGGGGGGACACACACCCTGTAATCCATTCGCAGAACCTAAACCATGACCTCTCCATGGTGCTGAATTGGCAATTAAGACAATGCGACTCATTACGGGTTTGGTGGGGTTTTCTGGCTCCTGCGCTGCCCTTGTCGCGGTTCTGATGCTATCTAATGAAGGCATTATGCCGAACTTTTGCCGCAGCAGCAGGGGTGGTTGTTATGGTCCCCCACAAGTGGACGCCGCATTTCCATTTGCAAACACGTCGATAAGATAATCGGATATTCTTTTTCTCCTGCGCACATAGATGCACGCAGTGATGGAGCTCACTCCCTCCACATTCACTCTGATGGCTTTCCCATCTAAGAGCATCCCATTATCCCACCACCACCACCGCTGCTGCAATCCACATCATCGACCTTGATTTGAAGCATCGAGGCTGCACCATGCTGACATCCTGCTAATGGGCTGGGGAACCACAGGAGCACGACCAGCTTTTGTTTTCCCAGCCCTCTTACTGTAAACCCAGCCCAGCCGCATATGCATCTCTGTCATATCGTCTCCTCCACCCAAAGACAGATTTGCGTGTGCCACTTACCGACATCGGGGTTTTTTTTTTGCCAGCGGCTCCGGGCGATCAGAGCAGATTGCTTTCCGGGGAATGGCTTTTCCTCCCCTTAAATAAAAAGCCGCACAGCAGCCCAGGAACCTGTGTAGAGAATACACCCCTCATCATGTGGTCTCTGCCCATCCAAAAACACTGAGATGGCCACGGTGAGCACGCAGACAAACGTGCGCCAAAATGACCGAGAATACCTAATTAGGTTTACACTTCTTATCAGAATACCGGCTGGTATCCGGGCTGCAGAAATATTCCGGTTTGTCTTCGGTCCTGTGTCGTTACAATTCTGACGTAAACTCGGATGCCATCGTGTGCATGTTTTTTCATATCCCCCCCCCCCCCCCCCCCCCTCTTATTTGTACTTTATTCTCTGTGTGAAAACGTTGATGTTCAAGAAAACATCGATGTGTTTGGGATTGATTTACAGCACTGACGGCTCGCTCTGGGCTCTGCTGCTTCTGCCTGAGGAGCGGGATTGTTGTTAGCCGGTTAGCATGCTAGCTGCCGCCAGCACCTGCGCTCAGCATGCGGGGTTTCGGTCTTTGTGTGTCTTTTTCTACAGTTTGCGTTGAGGGCTTTCAGCCGCGTTTTGGCGACCTCTCCAAACGGTCCACCCCCTCACAAAGCCGGCCAGTGGCCTTCGTCCGTCGGGTGTGCGGCCGCCGTGGAGGGGGGCGCCACGGCTGGCGGCATGGCGGAGAAAGCCGGAGGAGACGAGCCCCGCCGAAGGCTGTCGCTGTCAAAGAGCAAGACGAGAGGTCGGGTTAAAGCCGGGGGCTCTGCTGGGCCCGCCGCCAAAACGCCAATCACGGCGTTCTTCAGCAGCCAGCCTCCCCCCAAGCTGGCCTGCCCCCTGTGCGGCCGCCTGGTGCCCAGGTTCGGGATCAACGAGCACATCGACCTGCAGTGTGAGAACTTTGAGAGGGGAGACCTCACTGTCCCCTCAGGAAGCAGCAGGGCTGCGTCCAGCTGTCTCCCAACGGCCACACAGCCGGACCAGGGGCCAGGGGAAGAGGGAGAGGAGACCAAGACCAGTCCCTACTTCAAGAGAAGGAGCTCTCAGCACGGACCGCGGGAGATAAACAGCAAGACTGTGGTCAGGACTCTTGACCTGGGAAGTCTAGCCTGTAAGTTATCCAGCAAATGTCGGAAGCCTCCTGACAGGAGAGGCCCAGAGGCTGTGGACACGCAGGAGTCTGAGCCGGGCAGTGGCTCCCAAAAGGAGAATGTTCAGATGCAGACTGCCCAGGATCAAAAAGAGTGTGTTCCAGTCCAGAGCACCAGTGTGGACGCCCCCGGGTCCGGGGGAGGCCCACCTGGTGTCAAAAAAGGACAGAATCTGGAACGCAAAGAGTCCAAATCAGAGGCTGTCCCATCAGTGGCTTCACAGTTGGACTCGTCTTCCTCCAAACTGAAAAAGAGAAAAAAGGAGGTGACCTCTGGTGTGAGGCTATCGGGTATTTCTAAGAAGGCAAAATGTGAGCCGAGCAGCAGGGAACCGGAGCAGAAGTCTGCAGATGAGACAAGTCACACGGGCCAGCCTAAAACCGAGGCATCCTCCTCTAGCTGGGGGCCAGCTTTCAATTCAGAGGAGACTTGTGAGATAATGGTTAGCGGTGACACGGTGCCCGAATGCGCCGGGATCCCCCCCGGTGACCAGACCCCCCAGCCCCCTTCCCTTCCCTACTACCTTCGGAACTTCCGAACTGTTCTGCAGGCTGTGCTGGAGAATGAGGATGACAGGGCTCTGTTCAACCAGGAGGACATGTCACGCATACGTGCTTTTGAAGGGCTGTCAGGTACGTGCAGAGCCAGACAAAGTTGAATAATCAGCAGTATATCCAGGCCTACTTGCTCACGGTTCCTTTTTCTCTCTTGAAGTCATGGCTCAGAAGCTCTACGTGAGGCTTTTTCAGAGGAAACTGAAATGGCTCCAAGTGAATAAACTGGATTATGGAGAGATAAGCAGTGATTTGCGATCTGTTGCACAGGAGCTATCTCTGAATGGCTTTCTGCAAACAGGTAAGTGATCCTGAAGAATTCAGTGGAACAAACACATAGGTGAATACGTACCGTTGATCATCCTGTTGATTTTTTCAGTTTGACTTCTCAAGTTCTCCCTGAACCTGGAGCTAAACTGAAACGGTTGTTTTCCATTCTACCCGTGTCTGCATTGACAGAGAACGACCTTGAGGACGTGGCCGAGGCCCTGGACCTCCTGCCTGCCCCTGAGCTCAAAGCTCTGGCCAAAACCTTCCACCTGGGCAGTTCTGGGACTCAGAAGCAGCAGCTATTGGACGGTCTTCTGCGCCTGAGCCGGCAGAAGTCTTTCTTCTCTCTTTCCTCCGCTCAGAACAACATCGGAACAGTCATCCTGAAACGGTGAGAACTGCATGGCGTTGGCACACATTGTTTGTAGAGCAGTAATGATCTGGGTGCTTGTCTCTCTTTAAGGGCGAAGCAGCTCGCGGGTTCCTGCGTCCGTCTGAGCCGTGGCCCTCGCGCAGTCTTCTCTCGCACCCTGCTCCTCTTCTCTCTGACAGACACCATGGATGAAGAGGAGATGGCGGCTGGAGGACAGGGCCAGCTTTATACCATCCTGCTGGTCAACTCGGGACGTCTGGCCTTCCCAAAATACACGGTGCAGCGGGGGAGCAGAGTGTTCCAAGACAGAGAGGACCTCATCAGGTGCAGTTCTTCTCCTCGGCTTTGCTTTCCTCTTTCATTCCAGTCAAAAAACGCTAATCATAAAACCCCCCCGCTGCACCAGGTTTGAAGCCGCCATGCGTGCCCTGGTAGAGGTCACCTCAGCTATGCAGAGTGGTCAGTGGGAGGCGGCCCTCCATCTTTACTCTGCCGCAAAGAGCACCTGGGAGGAGCTGAGGAAAAGCCACGACCTGAGGTCAGGCCCGCGTAAATCTTTAATTTTTTCATTGAGTGTATAGCAGATATGGTACGTTTTTTTATTTTTTATGCAGGCACCAGGAGGAGCTGCCGGTGTTCCTGCGCAGCTTCACCACAGGGTGGGCCTACACTCGTATTCTGTCCAGAGGAGTGGAGATCCTGCAGAGGCTCCGTCGCTATGAGGTGACACAGGCCATCCGTACTCTCCCTCACGAAGCTGTCTGTGTAGTGAAAGGCGCTGGTTCCACAGACTTACTTTTTGACCCGGTAGGAGGCAGTGGAGGAGCTACAGTCCTTACTACAGCAGTCGGTGTACTGTGCTGACAGCCGGGGCCGATGGTGGGACAGGCTGGCACTGAACCTTCACCAGCATCTCAAAAAACCAGAGCAAGTGAGCACCAGCTTCCATGTTTTCTTTTAAGGTTTACAGAATATTTGCCGGGTTTATGGCCGAAATGAACCATCTGCAACTTTCTAAATGTCCATCTATGTGATTCCAACTAATTCCTGCCAAAATAAACAAAAAAATCGTTTACGATCACTGTGATGCAAAAGCTTCTCTGTGTTTATTAGGCCCGTTAGAGCAGGCTGCTCTCTGGACGCTCAGGAAGTATGAATATAAACAATTTACTTTGACTGACTGCCCTGTGGACAGAAAACATAGAGAGCGACTACTGCTCATCGTTATATGAACTATTACACATTCACTTTCACAGTGGCTTAATACATCTGAAGCTGGAAACTGCCTGAGCTTTAAACCCTAAATGTTTAAAAGTTCTCCTGATTCTGACAGAATGAAGCTGCTGATGAGAAGGGAACTTCATTACTGTCTCGTTTGGCTTTTCTTGTTGTACTCAGGCTATCGGTGCTATCAGAGATGGGATGTCCGACCCCCTGGTGCGCACAGGACACAAACTGTCCCTGCACCAGAGGGCTGTTAGGATGAAAGAGTCTCCCAGCTGCAAGAAGTACCGACTACAACTCAGAGAACTGCCCACTTTTCAAGTGCAAGATGTCAAACATGTGAGGGCTTTTTTTTCCTTTCATTTTTGCAACATGTCAGCTTGTGGTTTTTAAAGGGGGGCGGGGTCTGCTTTTTTCAATGTTGGATTCAACTATTTATGTTTGCTTTTGCAGGTAACCATTCGAGGACAACTGTTTCCTCATGAGGGAGGCACGGGGAAGTCAAGGTTTCTCTTACAAGAAAATGAAGGAGAGGAGTCTGCTCTCACCACTGTGATATGCTCTGTGGAGGAGCTGTCTTTGGCACATTACCGACAGCAGGGCTTTGACCAAGGTAAAGCTCTTTAACTCCACAACTGCAAAATGAGACCACCCACTCCTCCTAACAAGCACACGTCCTCTCACAACTAACAGGCATCCACGGAGAAGGCTCGACGTTCTCAACCTTGTTTGGTCTTCTAATGTGGGACATCATTTTTATTGAGGGAGTTCCAGATGTTTTCCGAAATCCATACCAGGTAACTTAAGCTCTCCTGGGTTTGGCTTGATATGTGAGGATAGGAAAAGCCTCACCCCGGTTTGTTTCCCCTCACAGACGTGTCCACTGGATCTTTACACTGACTGCTTTTATGAGAACAGAAAGGAGGGGATAGCGTCCCGGGTGCAGTTACTTCGTGAAGCGTCTAAGGAAACGCTGTGTGACATGTTGGAAGATGTCTGGAGCTCCCAGGAGGGGAGAATGTGTTCACTGGTGAACTGGGAACGTTTCGCATCTCTTCAACAGGCGCAGGTTATCACGGCCAGTTTGACACATGAATATTCAGTGCTATTAGATCTAATGTGTTCCACATATTTTGTATGCATGTGGTGAGATCAATATGCATTTACAGGTCAACATGCTGTTAACTATCGCATATATACTCTGATATTTGTAGTCTCTTGTCACATGCCTGGGTGGAGCCTTCTTAGGAGGAATAATAGACAGAATGGTAAAAGATTACAGACACTGCCGTGGAGGTTTGCCCGATCTTGTGGTGTGGAACACCTCGAATAACAGCTACAAGGTGAGATCATCTGAGCATTTGTAATGTTCCAACACACCCCAGGTACTTGAATATCTCACTTTTTTCAAATTAAATGAGTGACTGGGTGTCATATGGTTATAGCTGGTGGAGGTGAAGGGGCCCAATGATCGTCTGTCCCAGAAACAGCAGATCTGGCTGGATGAGCTGCAGAAACTGGGGGCCGATGTGGAGGTGTGCCATGTGACAGCTACGGGAGCCAGAGGAGCTCGTCTGGAGTAAAAAGCAAGAGTGTGATGACTCACTGCTGCTAATTAATCAGTCAAAACCGAAACACCATGAAAAAATAACCAAGAAAATGTACTGAAAAACAAAAACTCCCTTCCTAATACCTCAAATGTCATCATATTTTATGACAGAGGATGTTCAATTCCTTATGGTTTTTGTCATTTCCAGCAGAGACTGATGCTTTTACTAAAATGAAGCTCTTGCTGAGATGAGAATTGTCTCAGCAAGATTCACTGATCTGTCATAGCTTGTTAGCACATCATTGGAGTTAATGGATTACAGAAAACCTCAACATCAACTTCTATTTTTTTCACCAGCACGATGTTCTTAGGGTGTGGGTTATAATTAAACAGTGAAAAAAAGTGAAAATGACAGAATTTGTTGCTCCATGGATGATTAAACGACAATTTCCTGCAAGCAATACTTCAGTGGAAACCTGAGAAAAAACACACACGAGCAATGGACCGCTTTATTGAAAGAGTCCAACAGAGTAAATGTATCATCAAAGTGCCTGGTATTTTTTATTAATTCAGCAGAAAAAAAAGTGTTTTACAGCAAAGCTGTACATTTAAAATGTGTTTTGCGGTTGGATGGAATTTGGGTCGAAATGACTCAATGTTTTATTTCTCGTCTTATGTGTAATATTGGTGTGTCTGTAATGTATACTTTGAACAGATTGAAATACAGCAGACAGTGTTGTGCTTGGGCGTGTGGTAATTTATTCCGGCCTCGTGAAGGCTTTTGGGGGAGGGAAGGGATTCCAGCTGCCCTGCGCGTGACGTCACGGCGTTGGAGATTGAGGAGGCGATGAGAGGAAGCTGCAATAAACACACAGGGCGTCTGCGCCTATCTAAATAGGACAATAAAGTGAAAACGGCATCAATGCTCTAACAATGGATTTGTCACACATGCTTCTCTTTAAAGTTTTCTTCTTCGCGTATTTACTAAACAGCACCCAAGGTGAGTCAAGCATTTTGAGGGAAAGCCTCGCGCGTTCCGAGGAGCAGCGGCTGAGAGGAGCAGAAATCCCGATAGCCCGTTAGCTAACGGAGGGGATCAGCGGGGCCTGCTTGTTGTGAACAGGACTGCACCCTTTTGCCGTATTACTTCAAGCCAGTGAAAATTGCGTCGTGTAAAAGCCGACAAGGGTGGCACACGCTCGAGTGCCGCAAGCTGACGCCGACGGGTCGTTTTCGCGTGTTGTCACGGTTTTTATTGTGCGGGCTGAGTGGGTTTTGTTGTTGCCGTGCGAACAGTGCCGACAGCCATTGTTGTGAGAGGATGAAGATGCCGACCGGGGCAACGGACCGTTAGCTCCGCGCTAGCTAGCCCGTTAGCCGCTAACGTTCACAGTTTGGCTAAATCTCTGCTCAGCCTCTGACATTATGTTTTCCGTCTGGTTGCTGTGGGCACGGTTCGTACCGCACTCACTTTCAGCTTTGCCCGCACCACTTTCAGTTTTTTCCCAGGACACTTTGGGGTTTTACACACTTTTACCGTTACACTAATGGCTATATCAGATAGCGCTGCAATCAGTGTTGTCATATTTGTTCAATGTAATTGATTGTAGCTGCAAAATATCCAGTTTTACTGTTAAGGAACCTTAAGGTGCTGGATACTTACATCATCGCTCACAGAAGTGTTGTTTGCTGATATTTTGCTTTCGATTACCAATACAATAACTCAGATTTCTCTATTGAAGCTCTATGATGGTCTCACGGCTCTGTGAGTTAAATATCCTTTGTGAGGCGGTCTGAAGGATGGCTTGTAACCACCACCTTTATCCTTTTTTTTTAACACAATTGCACATGCATTTTATATCAGTTGAGCCCTTTTGCTGGATTTCTTTTAAATGGACAAGCAGAAATCCCTAACGCTCTTGCTTCTACTTTTTGTTGTTCCTGAGAGGTGAAGTAATTTCATGGCCTTGGCCCTCACGTCTCACAGTCATCTCAATGAAAAATTTAATGTTATCACCTAAATATTTCATACACCTCATGAGCAAAAAAGTGTCTCAAGCCTGGTCTGTTTATCCATCTTTGTTTTAAAGCTGTACTGTTGCCAACAGGGCAAGCATGGCTATCTACCAGTGAGCCCTAACTGCATTCACTGTCTTTTGTGTCAACAATGTTGTAGGGTCAATAACTACTCTCATAGATACTCCATTAAGCTGAATTTGCATTGAAAACAAAGACATTGTCTCAGAGTTATTCCTCCAAGCATAAAACAAGTGTTTTCATACAACTCAGATGTTTAGACTGCGTTTGAGTGTGGAATAGCTGGGTGGAGATGGTTGATAAACGTATTTTCTTGAAACACGCCACCTACTCCTCTGGCGACAAAGTCATTATGCCGTGATGCTGGGGGTTGTTGTTGGGCGGAGAAGAAAAGCTGGCATTCAGTGGTTATGAATGAATTTATCTCTTGTTAAAACGCTGAACAATGACTTTCTCTACATTTTACGTCATGTATTGACCATTTGACCAACGTCACATGCACAGAATCGGTTGTTCATTCAGAATTTGTCTGCTGTTCATTCAGATGTGGTTTTCATGTCCCCATTCTAATGACCAAAGTTTTTGTCCAGTGCTTTACAAGGATTGACCAAACAGAAAGCAAATCTGTTTCTGCTAAGAGCAATCTAATGTGATGGACTGACTTGTTATCTATACGTACAACTCTTGATGGTTTTCCTAAAGTGTTGCACGTGCATGACAGGGACGACGCTGTTGTCATTTTGCTTAACAGGTGCTCCTCTGTTCTCTCCTCACAGGACACTACAGGAACCCTCTGAACAAGTACATCCGGCACTATGAAGGCCTGTCCTACAGCACAGAGCTTGTGCACAGCAAGCACCAGAGGGTCAAGAGGGCACTCTCTCACGAAGACAAGTTTCTTCATTTAGATTTCCATGCCCATGGAAGGTTTGTGCCGTCCTTTTCAAGATTTTTGACTGCGAGTGGATTAGTTTGACAATAGGTGGACAGAGAAGGAGGCAGAGAGCGTGGGAGAGGCAGAGGGCCGCAGGGCAGCCCTCGAATCCAGGCCTTCTGGAGCTACTGCCTCTGCACACACTTAGCCAGCTGGGCGATATGGCACGCTGGTGTATGTAGTCTTTTTAAGGAGATTAATCTAATCTGGACATACTTATCCCTCTATTAACAGGTTTATTTATTGATTTTATGACTAAACCATCCCATATACACATGTTGTTTGTCAGTGAAGGCTTAGGTCAGCAGTAGGAGGGATTTCCAGTGTGATGAATATCTGTTTTCCATCCTGTTTATGACCCTTACGAAAATGGTCACGGACATCACAGCATCGATGCTGAGGTGAACAGATTTTGTCTGTGTGCTTTTTTTCCCTCTCTTTTTTCTTCCTGTGTAGTTTCCACAGTCTAGAGCCAAATGATTCATCGATTGGTTAAACTCCAGGAAAAAGAGGGATTCACTAGTTCTTCTCTCTGAGTGGTGCAGATTTGCTGCCTCTCTAATGTAGTTGTATCTCAATAATCTTTGGCTTCATGATAGGAGAAAGCATGCTACTTAAATATGAAGCCATGAGCTTTAATTATTGCATTTACATTTAAAATTTCTCCAAACTCCACTTAAATGAAATGATGGTTTTAGTTAAGATGTAACGTTGGTCTTTATCCAAGAATCCAGATGAACACATGTTGAATTAAGTAGATAATATGATTGCATTTGTCTTGATAAAAAATAATTTAAATTGTATTTCTATATCCTGGAACTCTGAGTTGGCAGATCAAATACAGCAGATGGGAGACTACATTTAGTTATTTATTTCAGAGAGGTGGTGCTTTTTTTCCTTTTTTTTGTAACAAGTGTCTACAATTCATAGTAGATTAACAGTAGTCTTGGTTGGAACACTTAAAGGGTTGCTATCTTGCCTGCGAAAGTTCCTGTTCATATGTTTCTGCCTAATCGGGAGAAATGATAAGAGCTATGCAAACAAGCACACGGAAGGAAGATGTCTCTTCCTTTAAAAAGCAGGAAACAGCTTTTTTCTCTGGCTGAATTACTGACAAAGCAAGAGGGACAGCTCACAATATTCACGCCCATTTTTTAAGAGACGGTCCAAATTTTCTTGACATGAAATGAACAAATTATACCACTGCAGACGTTTCAGTCACCGAAATGAATGCTGCCATGAAAGGTTTGGGTCTGTTTAGTTAACATGCTGTTCAGTTTTTGAAGACCCTTGGCAGGAAAGTTGCTTATTGCAACTTGAAAAATGACCACCGGGGCCAGAGGCTTATCTCTTTCTACTATCTGTCTCCTCATGCAATCCCAGACTGACTCAGATATGGTTATATCAAGGTGCTGGTGTGACCACACCATCTGTTGCTGGAATCCTTCTTCATCTTGGAGTTAAAGTGGTCCTCTGTGACAGCTGCATTTGTTTTTGCTTGTTTTTAAGCTAAAACAGACCTGTATGGGGTCTTTAAAGGATTCCTGTGCCAGGACACTAAGAGAGCTTATTATTTCCCCACAGTATTAAAGTGTGTGTGGGGGGGGGGGTCTGTTTTCACACATGAACTCAGAATTTTCACTGGACTTTTTCCACACTTTACTGTTGGAATTTGTCTGCTGGAAATGCAGTTGTCTGTGCTACAGGTAGGAGACACAGGACTAAGGACATGATGCACAAATTCCACTTTAAAAATCACTCTTTTCAATGTAAAGCGTGTTAAGAATTCTTTTCTGTGGCTGCCTATCAAACCTGTAGATCTTTTTTTCTGTACTGTTGGTACACTTCCTCAAGTAAAGACCAGAGCCCCCCTCGCTATTTTTTTTTCTTTCGTGTGTGTGGCTAAAACAAGCCAGTTATGGCCTAACCCATTGCTTGCTGTATTGGGTTTTTATCCATAATCTGAAAGCCTAGTTTTACTGTTCCAGTGTGCCTCACCCTCCCAAAGGACCGGTGTGCCACAACAACAATATGAACAGATGGCGTTACGCTGTGTCTGTCATAGCAGTGTGTGCTGAACCACAGTTTTCTTACGATTACAACTCAGACTGGTTTAGTTGTGTCTGCCCGTCGCTGCTGTCAATTTCAGAGGCTCCGTTTCAGAGGCTACAGTTGGTAGAGTTGTGTTTCTTTAAGGAATGTGTGAGCTGTGCCATTTTTCTTTCTTTTTCTTGTGCTGCCCTGACCAAAACTTCCTAATTTAAAACGAGCATGTACACTTGTAATGTGTCAAGTGCTCACGCTGATGGCACGAGTGAATTCTCATTAGACCTTTCAGACTGAGCTCAAGAGCCAGGTGTACCAGGAGTGTTTGGCTGGTATGCAGAGGGAGTTGAGAAGCAGACCTTTTATTTCTAATAATTAGGATGTCATGTCACGTTTTTCGACAGTACCTAATTTAAATGTCTTGAAACACTAGCTGAACCTCTGCATATGAAAACTCGTGAGTTCTTTTCACGTGCAGTTTTTTAAAAATGTTATTCAAACTTAATGCGGTTAAACATTTAGGGAATCCATGTTATTTTTATGCAAACCTCTCCTGAGTTAGAAGAAACAGTTTTGTGTAAACAGACAAGTTTTTCTCCTTCCAACCAGAAAGTAGTCCAACAATATGTATTTAAAGCTGAAACTCGACACTTATCACTGCCTGCGCAGTGTTAAGATCCCTTTGTTAAACTGAAAAAGAAAAGGTTATTTTCTGTATTCTGATTGTAAATAATCTGTATATACCTGGGCTCATTCCCCCTATGAGATCATGTAGCAAAAACAGCAGTGATTCACTTAGTGCTGTGGATAATATGGCCTAGATTGTTAGTCATCATATCAGAATATACAGGTCTAAATTTGACAATGACTTGAGTTTTCCCTTATTTAATTTAGGAGAGCTTACATAAGAGTAACTTGTAGACGGTACAAGGATACAATAAAAGCTCTGTGTGGGTGTTACACGAAGCCAAAAGTTTTTTTTTAACTGTTTTTCTTTCTCTGTCTTATGTTTAATCCACACAAAACTGCATTGTTCAAGATGTCCTAATTTTCTCTTAGCTGTTGTACCAAACACACACACACACACACACACACACACACACACACACACACACACA